GCTCGATTTAAATATTCGTGTTCGTGTTCGGCTCGTGTTCGGCTCGAAATTGGCTCGTTAAACTAAAGTTAAGAAAAATAGATGTAAAGTGTGGGATTCGAACCTGGGTCAAACATATACAAAAAAAGACACTAACCACATTGTCACATGAGATGTTATGATTTAAACTTAGACATAAATGTATATAATATATTATTAAATAAATAATATATGTAATATATTGTTATATAAGAAGTTATATAATTTTTTTTTCGAGCCGAACACGAGCGAACAAACTGTGGTTCGTGTTCGACTCGTTTACATTTTGAGCTTAAAAAATTGTTCGTGTTCGGCTCGTTAGGCTTAACGAACGAGCCGAACACGAGCTGCTTAACGAGCCGAACACGAGCTGTTCACGAACAACGAGCCAAATTGACAGCCCTAGGTATAAATAACCCTTACATGAATCCTAAAATAGAAAATATCAAAAAAAAATTACAGGAAAGATATAACTCCTAATATTTTTAATTAATCAATTCATATTAATTGTTTTGAAGAAAGGAAACAACATAAAATAGGAAAGAAACTAAATCCAATCCAAATAAATAAATCTAAAATAGAAAAGGAAATAAAATTATATTAGGTAATAAATTTAATCCTCATAAATTCTAATAGGAATAAATTTTTTTCTAATACATACCAATACACACTTGTGCAAAGATACCGTTAGAAGGTGACTTTATTTTGCATTATGTCAAAACCCAAAAACCTTTTTTTATTTATTTTATAGGAGAATAGTGCTCAATTTGTAAATGCCCAAGAGGCATAGTTTTTTATTTTTTTGGACAACTTTTGTAACCTTTTGTTTTTTAGTAATGCAAAATGCACACCTTTCAATAAAGACTCTTTAACTTAAGAACCATATTTTCTCATAGTTAGATGTGCTCAAAACATATTAATAGTAGAGTTTGAAAACCTATCGATGCAATAGCAATAGATGTTAATACAAATACTAATCTATATCAGAAAGAACCAGCACCATATTCTTGGGTTTGAAGCATATGCTTGAGACTTTCTTGGCTTGTGTGGAAGATTACGCTATGAAATATAAAATTTTACCTTTTTTCCAAAAAAAAATCTAACATAAAAAGCATTATTATCTAATCTTATAAGTTCAAAATAGCCAAGGCTACATTAAATTTCAATCACTTTTGCCAGTTGCTAGACTCAGAAATTAATACTACAACCGTGATAATTAACTACAACGAGAGCCACAAAAGATATGTTCTAACAATCAAAGTCATTAAGATTGTCATAAAAGGAAGATACCTCTAGGCCAAATATCATGCATATGTATTGACAATTCATATAGTAATAAAATAGATATAAGTCTCTACAGGACTAGCCATAATAAGATAGAAAGTTGGGCACTACATGAAACTACAAACCTTTACGTCCTTGTTCATTGTCTTCAGGTAACGACCAGCCCCTGTGATTGTTCCACCTGTGCCTATACTTGCAATGAATATGTCAACCCCACCCATTGTGTCCTCCCATATTTCCGGGCCTGTGGTTTCAAAGTGTATCTGTGTTTTATTTGAATGATAATCTTTATATAACTTTTCTCAATCAAATTTAAAGTGCAAAATGTTGGAAATCAGTAAAATCATGCTCTTTTTCAGGTTTCGTGCATATAGGAACAAAGAGAAATTTAATCAAACACCTTGACGTTGACTGGATTATCAAATTGCTGAAGCATGTATGCATTTGGTGTTTGACACACTATCTGTTCCGCTTTGTCAACAGCCCCTTTTAGACCTTTTGCTGGGTCAGTTAAAACTATCTCCGCACCAAATGCACGAAGAAGAACCCGTCTCTCTAGATTTATGGAAGCAGGCATTGTTACAATAAGCTTGTATCCTCTAGCTGCAGCTACAAATGCAATACCGACTCCAGTATTCCCGCTAGTCGGTTCAACTAAAATACTCTGCATGACATAAAACTATTCCAATCATCTTTGATGTTGCTAAAGTAGCTGTTAAATATAAAACCAAAGTCTCACATTCAAAGGAGAAATAAGCCCCTTCTCTTCAGCATCATTTATCATGCTGAATCCAATCCTGAGTGTTTAACAAAGAACAACCAATGTAATATCAAATGTAGCTTTTGTAAGTGCTGGTTGTTCACGGGAACAACTCTGTGTTGCAGAAACGTACCGATCTTTGACACTTTTACATGGTTCCATAGACTCAAGTTTTGCAGCAATATTAGCCACGCAACCTTCAACCACATGGTTCAGATAAATCATCGGTGTCTTCCCAATTAACTGATCCAAATATCTAATTAATAGTTAGCCAGGTAAGTGCTGAAAACATGTGAATGAATATTTTTACTCCATCTGGCTCAGTTCCACAAAAATTTCTTTCAACAACGTACATAAAAAGATAAACAACTTTTAATAACAAATTGCACCATCTTTAGTGCACAGCATGACGTAGAATCACCAACACGTTAAAAAATAGACAGCTAATTCCAAATTGCAACAAGGCTAGTGCACAGCATGACGTAGAATCAACAACACGTTGAAAGCATAACATTGCTAAATTAGGATTGGGGATTTATTGGTCAAACTATTTTGCTCATTGCAACCAATTAAGACAAAATGAGGATTAAAAAAACATAAACAGCACAGTTTCTTGAGAAACTAGACTGATAAAATTAGTTTGTTATTGGCAAGCAACTAGTATGTTTAAAATCCAAGTACGTTGCAGTTCTTAAGTCAGTTAATGAATAGCTAGAAAAAAAAAATTAGCAAATTGCGGCCAAGTTTTTTCAAGCTGGACTAACAAGTTAACAAAATCTTGACCAGAAGAAATAACTCTGAATGCTACTAAGATATGTGCATAAAACCCATGCTTTTTTGAACTGGACAAACAAATGAACCAAAGCAAGACCTATAAATTGACTAAATGATGTTGCTTCGGCTGACAACCATTGGCTTCTAGGTGTGTAATTGTATTAAAGGACAGATTTAGTACCTGGGCTTTTAACCTCAACTTTCAATATCTTTATCAACTAACCCAAATATTTATGTAAAACTTCCTATAAATAATTTAGATAATGTAAAAATAGGTGGCATGGAAGATTGAGTCGTGTGGATAGCCAATATACTCAATTAGTCATAATTTAGTGTAGGGTTTATATAAAATATTTGGACAATAATGAATGCTGATCTTTAATGTGAAATAAATCGTTCAAACGAATAGCAGCATTACCCTTTAATTAAATTCTTTTTAAATAAATTCGCAGCAATAGTGCCTAGCTCTGAAGATGGTCGCAGGTGACAAAGAAGTTTAGGGCATGTTTGGTAGCTGAATTTAAGTATGAATTGAGCCAAATCTAAAAGGGATTCAATCGCAAGACTTTGAGAATAACCTGTAAGATCATTATTAAACTAGGCTCTAGCACCCACAATTATATATGTATGTGTGGGAGATTGAACTAGTTGAGTGGGGACAATCTTTCTCGATCTAAGTGCCTTTCAAGCATATACACACATGAGAAGTCAAAATAAGAGATTAAAAAGAATGAACTTTTATGTAGAAAATCTACAAGAATCATTCTGTCTAGCCTAATTTAAAAAATTTGCATAATAAAGGTATTATGAGGTATTGCAATTTCCCATAATTGGAAAAGGTGTGAATAGAAAGTAGGGAATTCAAGATGATGATGGTGGTGCATATAGTGAGCATGTAGAATGGTTAGTAGCGCGCCGAAAGTTGATTAAGCGCAAGCCTCGGAAACGGTGGTTATGGCACAAATCCTCATGTGCTAATGGTATCCTGTGTGAAGTCCTCGAGAGGATTTGCAACCTTTAAAACTCCTAAGCTTTCCTACCACATCACCATTAGAAATCTAAGATTCTCTAAGGATTTGATGAATCTCTAATCTCTGGAATGCTTCCAAATACACTAAGCAAACAAAATAAGATTCATTTTAAACTTTTTGAGAAGAGCATTTGGTTTTATATCTAAAATATGTTGAAATATGTCAATTGCTACTAATAATGACTAACACAAATCACACTCAATTATGATATAAGTTTGATCAAGCAATGTAACTACGCCTAGGCTAACGAATCAACCAGCTCAAACTAGGGCTATATGACAAGTCAATTATGGTATATTGCAGCCAACATCCCAAACCGTCAACATAAAACAAATTTTGTAAATTTCAAACTCCAATTCCATCAAAGATTTAATATTCAAATTGATAGAAATAATTCTGAAAAAATTTATTGTAAATAATTGGAAGCACAGAAAATTGGTAATAACGTCCACCTGTTTTTATATGGCAATTTTTGTCTCCTAGAGAGTAGCCATTAGCCAAAACTTAAAGCATAGTCATTTGCCACAAATGACTTACAAAATAAAGTTTTATGTTGATTAAATTTACTCACAGAAGTCGAAAACTCTCCCAATGATTTGAGCAATAACAAGTACATGTCGGCATGATCAAGCGCATACTAAAATAGAAGTGCAATATGATCAAATTCATATATATATATATATACTGAGGGCTAATTTTTATTGAAATTGAAAAGATACATAATGGTTGTATGAGAGGACCCAATAAAGGCGCCCTACCCATACAATACACAAACACTAACATCATAAAAAAGATAAGACAAATAAAAGTCTAAAATTCATAACTCGCAGAAAACCAGTTGCTAGGGACGAGCCAGCTTAGTCCTGCCTCTACCTCTGTTCCAGGAACGGAGCCAGCTAACAAACTGCTGAGTGTCGTGTCATTACCCGAAGTTACTAAAGTATCATCCATTAAAATCCCAAGCTTGGGTATGCCTCCATTCTTTTTTTTCTTCCTAGATGTGTATATATGTCATTCCTCATTCGAAGATTAGCTTATCTGATCAGTGTGATCAACAGATTGTCGGGCATATAGAAGAGGATGAGCCCCTAGCTCCTGATTAACAGTAAGAACATTCTCATTCTAAATAGATGGTAAATATGTCTCCTCAGCATCTGATGCTTCCTGAGGTTGTGGAGCTGTGATACTATCATGATTATCGGACCAAAGAATATCCTTTGGAGGTAAGGATCTTGCAGTATTGTTTTCAACAGTGATAGAGACTGTAGGATTCCCAAGTGAACCATCTGCCAATACATCAGTGGAAGAACAGAAACACTATTGTCTCCGGTAGTGGGAGGGAGAGGCGGCATCGTGTCAACCGGTGTTTCAAAAGTTTGTGGAATGCACTCGAGGGTGGAAGAGGGACAAATATGAAGTGGGGCAGATCCAGTAGCAATTTTACTCTGAGGTTTTAGATTTGGATGCAAATGATAACATTGAGAAAGAGAGTGTCCAAACATCCGGTAGGTGCAATAAAGAGGTATCTGTTCAAGTTTTGCTTGCTGCCAAAATCTCTGATGTTATGTGTCAATCCATATCTCTCTCGAAAAAGGTAAAGTAATATCCCGTTCTATCAAAATTCTAGCTTCAGAAGGCCGAGTCAGATTCACTTTAGGCATATCAGTTTTGAGAGGTTTACCGTATACCATCGCTAAAGCGAAGAGGAGCTCTTGATCGTAAAGGTGGACCTTCAAACCTGGGAAGCGCAGCCAAACAACAATGGTAGGAGGTTCAGTACGAGGGTCACCATTTTAAGTCCATTTTAAAACCTTCATCACCTGGTTGTCTATTCAAATGAGTTTTCTCACAAACAAATGAGCGTAGTCTGCATCATTTGATGATAATCATCATTTGATAATTGAATGAGAATGTGTCGATCATCCAATTTACCAATCTCCCAACCCCCTTTCAGCTTCATTTGCTCAAAATCCTTTCGAATTAGCTCAAGTTTAGAGTTTCCATAAAGAAAATTACCTAGTAAGAACAGTCACAGGGCGCAGCTAGGGTGGAGATCTCGGCCTCTGTAAGAAAGATTGCAGGTTTGTCATTTTTACGGGATGTTTTTTTGAGAAATTCGGTTTCAGAGCAAAAGTATCGTGGTAACTTTGCGGAACATATTCGAAAGAGGGGCGGGAGCGAGGTTATCACCGGCGAGGGCGGCGGCGTAGGAAAGAGCCCCTGAGGCCATCACCTTGGTCGGTGCTTCACTGTGTGCGCACTGTCGCTGAGCAACGGGACGCAGTTTGCGACGGAGGACGAATGCATTCAATGCAGACAACAAGCGGCATGTGAAGCAACAAAAGAGCGACGTGCGACGAGGGCGAAGAAGGTAGCGACGGAAACAGCAATGTACGACGAGGAGGCGAAGAAGGTAGCGACGGAACAGCAACGACACGGTGTTCGCATAGCTGTCCAGAGAAGACGACCGAAAACGAAGAAGACTCAGTAAACAGCGAGTGAAATTGTATTTGAAGCCGACGAAACAGTAGCCACGCACGAAGACGATGGAGTGAAGCTGGAGGCTAACGCTGGGTTTGGCCATCGGGCGAAACCCTAGCATAGCTCGCCGCCATTTTCATATAACACTGAAGCATTATATATATATATATATATATATATATAGAAAGCCCAAAAAGGCTAATATATTAACTAGAAAGAAAGATACAAATAGAATGTGTTGAATGGCCCAAACATGGCACCCAGTTCACACCAAAACCACAAGGGATTTTTAAACTAGAAAATACAGAAAAGTACAGTAGAGACAAAGATAAAGCCTAAGCATGCTGAAATATAAAGTATCAAGTGGCTAGAGAGCAATCCAATCTGGTTTTGCCTCTTGTCTCTGGTTCTAGGGAAGGAATAAGCTAATAAGTTGATAAGATGATTGTCATTGATAGTGGTAACCAATATATCATCCAATATGTTCCCTAGCTGGAATCGGCCTCCATTCTTCTTCTTCCTTCTGGAATATACTTGTCATTCCTCTTCTGAAGATTGGCTCACCTAATCTTGATCTACCATGTACTGGAGATGTGCAGATTGTTGAACATTAGAAGCAGCAACATGTTGTACCGGCTGATCTACTATTGGATCAAAGGAGCACTCTCGTGTGTCTTCGCATGTTAGGGAGTCTTCTTCAATAACAGTGGGTGGTATAAGCACAGCTGGATCTATAGCTGTAGTATGTTGTTCTTTTTCAGGAACTGCGGTGTTGGGAAGAGGATCGGGTTGCGTCTTCGGGTTGGTTGCGTCTTCTCAACTGGGATAATAGGTGGATGTTCTTTAGTAATAGTCGATCTTAGATGATGATGTAAACGATAGCAAATAGTAGAGTTGAGGCCAAACATACTACAATAAGAGCAATAAGGAGGGTGTGGTTCGATTTCAACATTTTGT